GTGGTGTTAGCCTAGCTGACAGCAACCTCAAACTCCTGGGCTCAAGTAATCCTACTGCCTCAGCCTTTTGAGTAGCTGGGACTACAGGCACTCACCACAACGCCTGGCTAATTTTTTGTTTCTATTTTTAGTTGCCCCGCTAATTTTTTCTATTTTTAGTAGAGACAGGGTCTCACTCTTGCTCAGGCTGGTCTCAAACTTCTGACCTTAAGTGATCCTCCTGCCTTGGCCTCCCAGAGTGCTAGGATTACAGGCGTGAGCCACTGTGCCCGGCCTTACAATTCAGTTCTTAATCCATGGAGACACTGACAGTATGATAAACAGGCTAATAATTTAAATCTCATCCTCTAATTACTTCTACCAAGTTGACAGAAAAGAAGATGTATTTTCCCTTCTGATTAATTAAGGTATTCTACTAATATATGAGCAATGAGCTTAAAAACATGATTAAAGAAAAAAGAAACTTGCAAAGGGACAAGACAGCCCTGAAAATCAACCCATTTTGTTTAACTGAGAAAAAAAAAAAAACTTACCTCTCGAAGAGCTTCAGCATAAGAACTCATGTCTGTTAGGATAACCAATACATGTTTCTCACACTGGTACGCCAGAAATTCAGCTGTGGTTAGAGCCAGGCGAGGAGTGATGATTCGCTCAATACTGAAAGGGAACATTAAGCCCTCGGTCACACAAACCAGAAGGCCAAAACCAAACGATTCTGGAAATAATAGTACAGTTCCCCTTTCAAAGTTTTAGATAAACTGAAGAGAGTAAAGCAATTTTTACTTTAAAAAGTCTTAAGTAAGGCAGTTACTTCATAAATTTCTCAGAGCTACACAGCTTCTCAAAACTAAGGCGAGAGTGTGTAGGGGGAGGGGAGGGGGGAAGAAACGGAAGGCAGATATCTCAGGTGAGAGGAAAAACTGTACGCTAGGTAATTTGTATGCATGATCTCATTTAGTACAAAACAAATGAGACAAGTATTTGTCACATTTTATGAGCTTCAGAACCTAAGTAATTTGCCCAATGCCAAATAACTACCAAGAAGCAAGGGGTGGAAGTGAAATACAGGGTTATTACCTCATTACTAGGCCCGTATGTTTTCATCACCACATCTTACCCCTCCCTAGTCTTAAGTAAGTAACATTTTTGACCCTAAGTCTGGGCAAACAAAAAGAAATAGCTCTATTTACTTACGTTGGGTCATTAGCCAAGTTCAAAAAGAGGCAGACATTGTCCATTGAGCCATTTTCTTCAAAGTCAGATTTGAAGAATCGGGCAGTTTCCATATTTACCTAAATAGCAATGATTTCATTAGTGGTGGGAGAAGAAAAATTCTCATCATTTATTTATCATGAAGGCCAAGCTACACGATCTGAAAGTTTTAAGTACCAAAAAAACTGTCACAAAAGCCAACAGAGCAAAGAGACTGTTTGGGGCACAAACAGTATTACTCTTAAATTTGAAATTAGTCAAACGCTAAATTTTAATTCTTAGTTTGGCCAAAGTGCCAAGTTGCAAATTCTCTACCTGGAGATAAATTCAACTATATATGTGTAGTTTACCACATTGTTCTAGTAACCCAAGCAATTAATTTTATATGTCATACTATAATTAAAACAAATAAAAAATCTTATACTTACACCCATAGCAGCAAACACGATTGCAAAATTTTCCTCACTGTAGTCCACTACATCTTTGGATTTCTTTACCAAACCAGCCTGGCGACAGATCTGAGCTGCAATCTGAAGAGGATTATAAAAGAACTGAGTTGAAATCTAAAATAACATTTCTACAATTAAATAACTTTTATCCTAAACTTTTTGGAATTGTAATCATACGTGAAACTGGGAGGTTTTAGGGGACTTACCCAACAAAACTATTTTGTATTTTTTGAGAAGATATTCTAGGGCAAGCAAGAAGACAGACGCATGGATAAAGATTCAAGGTAACTGGATTATACAAACAAGAACACTGGGTATTTATTTTGAAAACCCTTTATTTCTAGTAATAGTGATGCATTTAGAAATTCTTCCCTGCGAAATTTCAGATCCTAGTTCTCACCTCATTGTGTGGTAGCCCAGCAGCAGAGAAGATGGGAATCTTCTGCCCTCTAGCAATACTGTTCATGCCATCTATAGCTGAAATGCCGGTCTGAATCATCTCCTCTGGGTAGATTCGACACTGAGGATTGATTGGCTGACCTAATGCATTTCCAAAAGGGAAAATTTTAATTTGTCTGCACAGTATTCATCAACGGAAGTAGAAATCAAATCAAATTTAAAAGAGAAAACACCAAGAAGGCCAGAACTGTATAAAGCATTTCTTTCTACTCTTAAGAAATCAGTTTACTTTTAACATCTGAAACTTGAAATAATTTTTACCTTTCGTCTTCTGCAGACTCATAAAACATACCATAGCACAACTCAAGTTCCTAAAGTGAAATAAAGGTATAGCAAAGAGGAGAGAAATCCTAATTTCAAAGTTATGGCTTTACCATATTCATTTCAGATATATCCTACATATTTTATAATATCTTAAGATATTACATAAAATTATAAGGTAATTTCTAGGAAAAATTAATTTATGAAATAATTTATAATCTATGGAGAGCATTAGTTATCTACTTAAAATGTATCACAAAAATCACTATCTGGCAAAGGTACAAGATAGACAGAGGCTATTTTCTCTAAAACACAGAAATCCATCTACTACCCTTACCCATAATATCAAGAAAGTCTTCAGCCAGTACAACAGGACCTTTGTCGATGGGTTTTCCTGATCCATTGAATACCCGACCTATGACACAGTAACAAATAGTATGAGCAGACCTTCAAATATTCATAATTTTTTAAAACCTTATGAAATATATTTAAAAATGAAACAGATTTCTGCTCAGAATGAAGAATCATATCCATTTACCAAGCATATCCTCAGACACTGGTGTTCGGAGAATATCCCCAGTAAACTCACAGGACGTTTTCTTGGCATCTATACCTGAAGTCCCTTCAAATACCTATGAATAAAAAGAATACATCAGAAGGGTAAAAGAAACTTAGATGATGGGCACTTAAACTGCCCTTATAAAGTCAGATACATAAATGTATACTACTTTTAATATACCAAAGAAATCTTCATGGTGATGAACCAAATTATCAACTGTAGACCAAGGGTCACGCACCTACCTGCAGGCCAAATTCCATAAGCAAGCTAAGTATGTTTTTTACGTTTTCAAAGAGTTATTTAAAAAAATAAAAAAGAAAGAAAGGAAAAGAAATATGCGAAAGAACTTAGGTGGCCCCATAAACTTTACTGTCTGGCCCTTTACAGAAATTTTGCCAACACCTCGGCTAGACTAATTTTTAGGGGAAGATGTTATTTGAAAAAAGCTATCATTTCCCACAATGAGATAACATTAAAAACTAGGGACTATAAGAGACAATGTAAAGGAACAGACTGAGATACAGTTTTGGTTTGATCCCACAATCAGTGAACTCTGCTTTTCGGCTCTCTCCTTCTATGTTATTATTTCATTTTACTCATTAAAAAAAAAAAAAAAAAGTCATTTTACCAGAGGAGTTAGAGTGGATGTAGGTGGCTGACTTTGGGTAAGATGACACGCAATAATAGTTTTTTTTTTTCCCCCTGCAACCAGTAATCAACCTCCAAAGACACTTACAAAGTGATCATTAGAAAAAAAACCAGTAGTGTTCCTTATGTGTTTGCTGTTAGTTCAACTGGCCAAATTTTTAAAGTGGTGCTCACCTGAACCACTGCTTTGGAACCACTAACTTCTAGAACTTGCCCACTTCTCTTCGTGCCATCTGGTAATGTCAAGTGGACAATCTCAGCATATCTGGGAAACTAAACAGGAAAAAATAAAGGATCAATAACCAACATTTTAAAAGCTCCCCAAATTACTCTATCTGCTCTGTCTCTACCATGGCATGTCTGTATGTGCCATTCCCCTAATCTCCAACACGCACAGGTTCATGCTGAGGGAGTTTACAATATCCTCGGGTAGTTTAAGTCCTTACAACAGACATCACTGCCACATACACTGGCAAACACAGCATAAGGTACAGAGAGAAGATGTTTGGAGAAGGTGTTAGGAAAAGATTATTCCTAACCAGCCCCTTTGAACCACTCCAGAGTGTATGTTAATGCAATCACTTTTGAAAGCTCCTAAGGAGCTGGGGGAGGGAAGTTGCCAGGGGAACCAACCACCTGGTTAGAGGGTTGGAACTTTCAGCCCCATCCCCTGCCCTCTGGGATGTAGTAGGACTCAAAATTGACTTGATCGCCACCAACCAGCTAATGATTTGATCAGTCATGCTTAGGTAATGAAGTCTCCATAAAAATCCTAACTGAGGGGGTTTAGAGAGTTTCTGGGTTGGAGAACAAGAAGGTGGCCATGTGCTGGGAGGGTGGCCCACCCCAGCTCCACAGGGAAAGAAGGTCCTGTGCTCTCGATCCTGCAGGGTGTCACCATATGTATCTCTTCATCTGGCTGTTCATTTGTATCTTTTAATATATCCTATTTAACAAATCAGTAATACTAATAGTAAGTAAACTGTTTTTGTGAGTTCTGTGAGCTATTCTAGCAAATTACGGAGCTTGAGAAGGGAATCTTCCATTTGCCGCCAACCCAGACAGTAGCTGTGGGTAATCTGGGGACCCACCACTTTTGATTGGGGTGTGAAGTGGGAGACAGTCTTGTGGAACTGAGCCCTTAACCTGTGAGGTCCACACCAACACAGGGCAATTAGTGTCAGAACTAAGTTAAATTGTAAGACACCCAATAACAGGTGTTCGCTGAAGAACTGAATTGTTGCAGGGAAAAACCCACATACCTGGTGTCAGAAATGAAGTACCTACTAAGAACAGTAGTAGAGAGGACACCAGAGTTTTCCTTTCACTGACTTAAACCAGAATGTTTCTAGAGTCTCCTGAGTATGCTGTTTGCTGTAGACTGTGGGGAATATTCATTGAGGCTAAAAGTTTGCTCTATTCCTTATTCCTTCTACAAGGCTTTTTGTAAAATAAAATAAGTAATCTTATGAGATACTTTTTCTGTATTTACTGAAAAGAGCATAAACTTTTTCTAGTTTAATCCACGAATGTGCAGAATTACACTGATATATTTTCTAATATTAAATTATTATCTTTGTATTACTGGGATAAACTCTACTTTTGTCATATTTTTGTTAATTTTTAACAGATATTTTTACTAATATCTAACGTGAATATATTTAAGAATTTTCAAATCTGTGTTTATAAACAGCTATATTTTTCTTTTCTAGTATTATCCTTTAGTTTTGGAATCAAAGATACGCTAACTTCATAAAATGAGTTGGTAACAGGGCTTCACCTTCTTCTATTCTCATATAACTAGCATGATCCTGGATCATATGTGTATGTTTTAAGTTAAAAACAAAAGCCAAAAACAAAAAACAAACAAACAAACAACCCCACTCTACATCTCATGGTCTAAGGCCATTTTTTCTACAACTACATAAAATTTATTTACCTCACCTGGAACTACACCCCAAAGTAACATTCATGAAGCTTTTTTAGCTCTCTTAAAATTACTTCCTCAGAGATGTTTTCTAAGTCCGTCCCATTACTGTCTCTCATGGCACCTTAATTTACCCTTCACAGAGCTTCCTAATTACACATTTATGTATTTATACTCTATCTGCTTCTCCACTGCCCTGTGCTCCACAGAGGAGGGCTCTTTCTCATTTCCACCATTATATTTTCTGTGCTAAGCCCAGCACTTAACACCACTGAAACTTGAATAGTTTCTGAGCTGTTTCTCGATAATAAACTAACATAAAAATTTCTTATTTTAAAAATACAATCCCAAATTTTTATATAATAAAGAAGGTAGAAAAAAGGAGGAATAAAGCTTTCTAATATTTTCTTCAAAAACTAAAAGTGTAGGCTCTATTCTTTCCCAAAACATGAACGGGGATCTATGTAAATCTTGTACAGCTTGGGTTCAATATCTTGAGGCTTTGAATCATTCTGCAGCCTAGCGTGAAACTGTGGCTAGGAAGTAAACTTGCTGGTTTAATCCTGAGATTAATTTATATAGGTAGCTTGTCACACACAGTTTCTCTTAGCGATAAAGAGACAATGCACTTTGCCCTTTCTTTTAAGAAATGTTTCTGAATGTATTTTCTATTTCCAGAAGAATCACATGCCAAACACACACCCATCATTAACCTCTCTCAACAAACTAGTAATTATGTGCTTCTCCCCCAACCCACCCCCATAACCAATGTAAAATTATTGTTCTTGAAAGTGTATTATATAAATTACTTTCTTGGAGGATATTTTGATCATACAGCTCAGGCAAAAAGCTTAGCACCCAGGGTATCCAAGTATAAATCATATTCTATGTCTCTCTAAGATAACAATAATTCTTACGTATAAGTCTGGCTAAAAAAACATGTATCTAAAGAACCGTACAACAAACAGAATAAGTAAAAACTATTCTTTGCCTTAAGGTTTTAGTCACTATTGAGATAATGTGTTCTTGTACATTCATTATTTGAATATCAATGTCAAGCTCTCAAAGATAAAAGATATACTCAAAGATAAAAGTAACATTGTTCATTTACTCAAGAGCTTAAAATTTAGTAGAAAAGATACATAGTATTAAAAAAAAAAACTATAACACATGGCAGTCTATGACAAGGACCATAAGATACCATATATCTCTGTACAGTACTCTACACAGGTTATAAAACACACTCATAAATATTATTGCTGGTTTTTCTCCTCACGAATCTGTTAGGTAGCATTAACTTTTTTCTTTTTTTAAGTTTGCAGATGAGGGACTCAGGACCACAAACAGAATCCACAGCAGATCCAGTACTGGAATCCAGCCTTGTGGCTTTTGGTCTAAAACTCTTGTCTCCAATATAACACTGACATTCGGTCCCAAGAATGACTTAAAAATCATAACAAAAATCTAAACTGTATTACACAAGACCTAATGCCACACTTTTAACTACATAAATAGACCATAACAGATAGTGGTGGTATTACCTTAACATGATCTAAGATCACTAGTGGACCATTGACTCCTGATACTGTCTTGTATGCTGGAAAGAAACACAGAAGAGTCAGCTTTAGTCAAATAGCACAAAAGCCTAAATTACCTCTACTTTATCACACCTATTATAATATGAAACTCAAATAGCTACAACACTTTTCAGTGAACTTATAAAATGTCTGTGCCTATACAACTTTTCATAACCCACCCTCATCCAACCAAAAACATTCTGAATCCTTAGTATGAGTAAGTCACTGTTCTAAGCACCCAAGATACGAAAACAAGGCACTGAGGGACAAGACTCTGCTCGTTCAGTATCATGTGGGGAGAATGTGATGAGATAAGAGCTCTCACCTGAGGAGCACCGAGGGTTTGTGGGAGCACAGCAAAAACAGTAACAGTTCCCACCACGGAGAGAAAAGCAAAAGCTGTACAGAGGACATGGCAATTACTAAGTTAATTGGGAAGAGAAAGGGAATCCTTACGTTAAACAGAAGTGACAAAACTCACAAAGGAAACTGAGAAAATGTAGCCTGCAAGGTAAAAAGCCAGGATTAAATGGGTATAAAAACGAGGGGGAAAGAGCTTTGTGAAGGAGGGAGTGGGCAATGGAAAGCAAGGCCAGGGGTAAATGAGTATCCTTTAAAAAAGTCAAATGTTACTGCCAGGTTAGAGGCTGATATTTTCTGCTGCCGCACCCTAGGAATAAACTGCTAGTCTACTCTACAAGGCACTACCCGAATCCCTCATTTTAGAAAGGAGGTAGCCCCCTTCAACCTTAATCACACCTGTGTGGCAAGTGGAATGGTAATTACATATAAATAGAACACTCGGGGGAGAGTAACTCTAACAGACAACTTCAGAATTCACTAAATTTCATAATCAGAACAGCCGGAAAAAACACATGAAATCAGTTTTTGAAGAAAACTTACTACAAGGTCTAAAATAATTTACATGAAACTGTCAACCAACCAGGGATTTTTCACTTGCTTGATTTCTTTTGAGGTCTCATAACGAGCTTGGACAGAGATTCCCAGCACAAGTGTGGACTCCCAAGAATGAGGAAACCATTTAATAACCAGTCTGTCCACTGAAAGGGCTTTGGAATTTAAAACCACAATTCCTTCAGCCTGAGCACCTAACAGCCAGGAAGCAAGTGCCCTGGGACAAAAGCTGGGACAGAGCAGGTCAGCACTATTAGGGCTTCCATCTTTCTTTCATACTGATAGGACGTTTATATCCAGACATCAAATACATTGAATATGTCATAATTGAATACATCAGTAATTGTACTGTAATTGTCAATGGAGAGTTTTTTTTTTATCTTAAATAAAAGACAAGTCAAAAGTTTAAAAAGTAAGCTACTTGAATGGATGGTAATATAAAAGGATTAATCATTCCCCTAAGATTACTAGAAAGATTCCATTTGTCACATTTTCTGCCACTTTTATGAAAACCCTCCCCATTGTTTTAAAAGAATCCAATATTCTCAAAAAATTCTAACCTTTAAAAAAATTACTTCATTTTTCTCATTTTAAAAGACTCCCAACATTCTGTTTTTCAATGGCTTTCTAAAATTGCTAAATGGACATGGAAAGTGAGCTACACTAGAAACACGTCTTCTTGAAACCAAGTTTTCAGAAATATATCATAGAAACACAGACCTTTTCAAAACTCTTACCTAAACAGTCGGGGTGGGGGTGGGCGATTTAGTTTTCATATTTATAAGAAGCTTTGTTTAGAGTAAAATGCAACATCAATAAAATCCTTCAGGTTCTTAAAATTCTCTTTACTTTTTCAACAAGATTGTATCTCCTTTGAACTTCTCATCTCTACAGTAACAATGCTTCAGAATCTCATGTTTAAAATCCAAGCTCATTCCAAATTACGAAGTTTTACCAGTCACGAGCAAAAGCATGACCAAGAAAAAGAAGTCATAGCTTTTCCTGGAAACAGTGAATCAAGCAGACTTCTACCACAGAAGACAAGATTCTACTTCATGAAGAGTCTCTAAATTTGCAACAAAGTATACAGCCTTTAAAAAATCCAGTAACTAACCCTGCAAGCTAATTGATTAATGCCAACACACATTTAATAAATAACTGGTCAGAATTTCCCATTTAATCTCTGTAACTATTATTACTACAAGTTTTAGAAGAGAAAAATTATTCTCAGAGAAATTAAGTAACATGCCCAAGGACCTGAACCTATATAGTCTGGCTCCAGAGTCATTTATTCTTTAACTCTACCGCAGACCAAATTCTAAAACTGAACTGGTCATTTTTTTTGTGGTATGGTACACTTCTTGCACTTACAAGAATTAGGAAACAATGCTACCCCAAATAATTTCACAAGTCTGCAATTTTAGCTATGAAAAATAGGTTTCACTATTGAATGCACTAGGCAATACTCCCTTGTGTCCACATTCTATCATTACTGCAAAACAATCTTTCTCCAGTACGGTCATAGCCACTGGAAGTGTTTAAGCAGAGATGGGAGTATCTGATGGCGACGCTTCAGCAGTTTCCTAGCACTGAAAACCATGAAAAGCACGAGAGGACTGAGGAGACTACTTCTGACACAAATCAGGAGTTAAACATGATTGATTTAAATTCAACTGAAATATAAAAGCTAAGCTGATAAATACTATAACTCAAACTAAACAAAAATACTACCAAACTTTACATTTGGAGAATGCTTCATGCTTTTACAGAGCATCTTTGGATAGGCTATCTGCTTTCATCTTCACAAAACACGTGCGGTAAAGCGCTATGGTTTGAATGTCCTCCAAAACTCACGTTCATACTTAATCCTCAATGTGGCTACATTGAGAAGTGGGGCCTTTAAGAGGTGACTGGATCCTGAGGGCTCCGTCCTCACGAACGGATTAGTTATCCAAGGAATAATGGGTTATCATGGGAGGGGCTTTATAAGAAGAGGAAAAGAGACCTGAACTAGCCCCTTATTATGTTCAGTCCCCCCCACAAGGTGGCACCCTGGGCCACCTCATATAGAGTCCCCACCAGCAAGAAGGCTCTCCCTAGATGTAGCCCCTCCACTTTGGACTTTTCAGCCTCCAGAACTGTAAGAAATAAATTCCTTTTCTTTATAAATTACCCAATGTCAGGTGTTCTGTTACAGGCAACAGAAAACAGACTAATACCGGAGGCAAAGCTGATACACTCTCACTTTACACACAAGAAAACTAAGGCCCTGATAAATTTGTTTTTATATTTGCGGGGGGTGGGAGGGTCCAGGCTTTTAACTGTTTTGTTTTTCTTTACTTCTAAGGCTGTTAGACTCTATAACATTTCTGACTTTAGTCCTCAGTATAGTTAGAAAATATGAAGAACACACAGTTCCTAACACTTGGACTGCAAGTGGGTACTAAAAAACAATTTATATAAAGCTATAGCTCTTTTCCATGATATAACTATTCTCAAAGAAAACCAAGCAGAGAAAATGATACCAAACACTACCTTTTATCCCTCAACAATATTTATCCAGCCTTCCTCACCATGAATAGTCCAAAGCAGAGATAACTGTGTAGAATCCAGCTGTCAAAGACATTAGGTTGCTCTTCAAAAAAGGCAAAAGCCATTTACAAGTTATGTAAAGATTTCTATTTACCAAAATAATGACCACTCTTCTCTTGAAAATTTCCAAATGAACAAGAACTTGAGTTCACAGGTGTATGTATGGGGGATAATCAGAGCTTCTGACAACATGGTACATACATGCTTACACTACATATTTAATACATCTTGCAACCAAAAAGCCTTACCTCTGATTCTGAACTATCAAGCAGAAAATAAATAGTTACAAAGTAACATTTAAAAACCAAAATCTACATAGATTTTAAGGAGCACATATTTTATCAGAAGACTTCCTCCAGCAGGGTAAGAGATTGTTCAACCCTACTAACACCACTTAATGATTGTGAAATATTCAAAGGAAAATTTGACTACCATTGCACAATAACAGTCCCAGTCCTTTAGCCTCCACCTTATGAGCAAAACAAAAAACCCAGGGCAATCATCTTCTATTGTGCAAGAACAGGAGAGACCCACACCCTGACCAGTAGGCAACTGAGGAAGAGGTTCTGGAAAAAAGCAAGAAGTCAAAGTTTTATTTGACTTTTTGCTGGGGCTAGCTCTGCTTTATGAGGTAAGAAACTTACTGTTTGTTCATCTAGGGTCTCAGAAAAAAAAAAAAATGGAGATCACTGAATTCAAAATATTTAGCATCCAGAAGCTCTATGTATATTGTTGAACCTTTTCTTTTAAAAGAAAATCAAGTTTTCATTCCTCGTGACCTTCGAAATTCAGCTGAAGTGCTCAAGATAACTTCCCAATTTCAAGCGTGAATATCTTGTTTTCCATTTCTTGTTAACAGCCCTATAATCCTGAAGCTGTTTTTATACAGGATCTAATTTGTACAGTGGAACTGTTAATATTACTCTATTCCTTCACTCAAAAAGCATACATTAAATAACTATAATTACATATCACCTTAGATGGTATCACCAATCTTTAATTACAAGCATTAAGAGGTTGATCAATATTTATTCAGAGCAATTAAAACTGTCGACTAGAATAAAAAATGTGGCAAAATAGGAAAAAGATGATATTCGAATGCAGTTAGATGTTAGCCTAAGAATGATATCATTTATGCCTTTAATTTTTAAATTTTTTATTTTTATGCTCAGTATTCTCCCTAACATCATTTATGCCTTTTAGAACAACCCACATACATAAGGGAAACTCAGCTCCACCAGTTCCCTACTGATTCCATCCATGTTAAGAATCTATCCACTAAACCATTAGATCAAGGAATTTAAATGCAAGTCATACAACAATTATAAGACACCTTCTTTGTGTCAGGCACTGTGCTAGGCACTGGGGATGCAAAAAGGATCCCGGACCTCTAAAGGTTCAGTTTTAAGCACTATGCCACAACAGTTTTGCCAGGAATGATTTCATCCGGAGAAATTCTTCAGCCACTGCCTAGGCACACACAGAACGGCGAGAAATCATACTCATCTCTCTTAACGACTTACAACCTTAACCCTAGAGTACTCTTTAAACATTATTTCAGTTGAAATTCTCTGAATTGGCACTGAATAATTAATTAAATGGCAACAGACTGTTGCACCCTTATAACCTTTTTCTAGAGGCACCACTAATGTCCATCTGTTCTGCCCAAACAAAAGCAAAGCATACAAATGCAATTCATAAAAGAGAATGTCATCCTTAGGTGTAAATTTATGGCCAAGGTTTATATAAGAATGCAACATCTGTCAATTTCCTAAAACACTTACTTCAGCTCATATAAAAAACCCCCAACAGGCATTTTCTAATTCAAACAATTCACAGTGTAAAAGGCACATCTCAGCAATCCACAGAATCCAATGTGTTTTCCTTCTTCCTCACACTGCAGTGCTGTCACATGACCCAGTGACAGATCAGGATGGGATTAGTCAGGCTTCAGATGGCCCAGACTAAAACCCTTCATCTGAAATTCTTTTTCACCAATAAGCCACCCACAGACAGACACTCTGGCAATTAACCAATGCAAATGCAGTCTCACCACCTGGGGAAACATCAGGTGCTTTTCCAAGGTTTTTTTTTTCTTTAAGTGTATTTCCAGGGCTAATCCCCAGTTTCTAAGGAAGTTGTGAAGCCGTTTGATGCTACACAATTTTATTCTTTAGTAATCAAGAACCATTTCTTTTGGAACTGCTGAGCTGTCCACTTAAACCCGGTTTATTAAGGCCTTTTTATAATCACAGCAACGCTTAAGCTTATGCTTATATGCTATACATGGGCAAAGTGGCGTGGCTTCCCTAAAGAACCTCGCACTCAACCAAGTTTGCTTAACTGGTCGGTAATAGAAGAGGCAACGGGAGAAAAAGACCCAACGGGAATTTAAAAACCTGGATTTTTAGTTTAGTTCCTGCTCTGCCAATAATTAAGAGTCTGAAGCCTGGCGAGTCCTACCCCTCCCAGAACCTTAGGCTTCTCACCTGTAAAACGAGAGGGCTGGACTAGATGACCTGCAGGGTACTTTTCAGCTCTAGCGTTCTCTGATATCTAGGTGTCCTCCTGTGGAGCAGCCCCTCCACGGAACAACAAGCCACATCTCCCTCTGGCTGCCGGCCTGACCTCCATCCACGAAAGGCCTGACCACGTCAGCGATGGCACTACACCGTCCGCCCTCGGCAGGAGCTTAAGACCTGCCCTGAGGTCCTCACCAGCGGGATGGGATGGGATGGATGGGAAGGGGCGTTGCCTCGACCCCTAGTCATCCAAAAGAAGTCAGGGGAAGATTAAGATCGGAGTGACAAGAAGTGGCCCTCAGAGACAGGAAGCAAGTGCCTGAGAACGCTCCAGCCTAGGGAAGTTGGAGAGGGTAGGGAATAGCCAGGAGCCCACCAAGCCTAGGAAAAAGTTCCCGCTGGTGCTCCTGCCCTCGGCCCACCTCACGGAAACGTAAGGTGCACGCAAATCTCCTTCTAGAGAAAGACATGTGGGTCAGGGTCGGGGGGGGACGCGGGAGGGAAAAATAAATCCCACCCCCCACCCGCTGGCTAAGCAGGTGAGTGGGAGCAAAGGGCTAGGCTAAGGAGCAAAGACGGCATGCGTCCTGCTCTCTGATACTCACTGAGGCGAGGCTGGGAGAGGTAGTTCCGACTAACCGCCAGCGCCTGTTCCCGAGATCCCACCACCGGCCCGCTGGTGGACACAGGTAGCTCGGGCGCGGCCCCGTTCACAATCCCCCGCATCGCTCGCAGCGCCATCTTGTCTCCTCCGTCCCGACTGGCCCAGCAGCAGCGCCGCGCAGGCGCAGATATACCAGGGCGGCCCGCGCACCCGGCTCCGCCCATGCGCGCTGCGGAGCCCCGGCTTCGCTCCGCCCCCTTCGCGGCCCACTGCCCCCAGCCTCGTGACTCGGCGCGCGGGGGCGGAGCGGGCGCGCGCCGGTGGAGGAGCTGACCAGCGTGCTGGGAGGACGAGCGCGCGGCCGAGACAGGCGAGAGGAAACCAGGACAGCGACAGGAATGAAAGGGGGAAGAGAGAAAAGGAGGGAAAAGAGACACAGAGGAGGGGATAGAGAGAGAAGGAACGCAAATACGTACAAGAAGAGGTCAACGGTTGTCCGTTTTCCAATACCCCTTCATGACACTGAATGAAAAAAACTCAAGCTATGAAAACCACTTTGAAAGACCAAATATAAAAGTTATACCAGTGATTATGAACATAGGGTACGAGATGTCATCATTTATTTCACCTCACTACCTTTCTACCCAATTCACTCACTCAGGTAGCCATTCAACAAACGCATATTGGCTTCTTTTAGGGTGCGGGTAGCGGTGTGAAAGACGAATGGGAACAGATTTGAAAACTGCTTAAAACGTGGAAATAATGTAGGATGAGAAGGTGTGCAAGAGGACAGCCCAGGCTCCAGGCCTGAGCGACTGAGTTAATGAGATGCTGTTGGCAGAGCGGAAGAACTTTGCTGGTGTTGGGGGAAGACACGAAAGGCTATTCTGTTCTGGAATCTGTTAAGTTTCTTGCGGGATATCCAGAATGCGGTTTCTGTTGGACTACGTGTACATGTGCAAGGAGAAGATATCTGGGCTGCACTGAGGTGAGATTTGTGATTTACCATCATACTGGTAATATGGAAATAAAAGAGACAGACCAGAGAGTGTGCTAAAGGCTAACTTTTGAAGGATCACTAAGATTAGAGAAGAACAAAGGACGAGTATCAAACTTGGAATGACATTAGAGCTGAAGAGAACCCAGAGCACGTGTCCCGGAGGCAAAAAGAAGAGAAGATTTCAAGGGCTATTGTATAATGCAAAAACCGAAAAGAAGGTGAGTTTAAGAGCTTTACAAGTATCCATTACACTTGGCCGTCAGAAGGCCATTGTGATGCGATGGGAAATAGATACTTGATGGAGAAAATTAGACTTTTTTTACATGGGGCAAATTTTAGGGTTCAAACTGTTTATAATGTTGGTATATTACAAATGAAGAGAACACTATTCAGCTATTTAAACTCTATTTTGTGTGCATCTCATTTCCGTGCACTTTGGTATAAATGCCCACAGCCCTTTTTTTTTTTTTTCCTCTCAACCCAGCTTTTCCCGACTCCTGGAAGAACCGGGAAGAGAAGGCCCCCACAGTCCTTTTGAACCACACCACTGAAGCAAGTGCTGTTTAATTATGAGTGAAATTGAGCATCATTTAGTATATTTTATAATTAAAGAAAAAAGGTAAAATAATAGGAGATGCCATTTTGATTCATGAGACTGACTATAATTTTTAAGTTTAACTAATGTCTAAAGTTGGCAAATATGAAAGGAAACAGGAATTTTCACACTTTATTGATAAGAGCATAATTGGTATGAAATTTGGAAGAGTAATTTGATAGTATCTCATTCAAATATT